ATTTAAAGGCAGCGATTACGATAAGAGGAAGCGCATCGGGGAAGCATATGCACCACACGAAGCAGTTACTTGGCTGCCAAGGAAGCGAGTGTGGCGCTTTCACGACGAAAAGGTTGCTGAGCAGGACTTCGAAAGCACTCCGCCCCCAAAAGCGATCCGCCCACTAGTTTATGTGATTTGGACGAGCTGCGTTGCCAGCAGCGGCACAACTGGAGCAACTCGATTGGAGCGTGGTTTGGCATGCTGCCACCAAACGCGTTGCGTGAACTCGTTCATACGTCCGCTTTCTGAGCTGTTACCTGTTCATGAGTGAAAAAACGGCCAAAAAGGGGTCCCGTTTTGCGTTTTCTTGACGGATTTCTCAGCTTTTTTCGCCACTGCGTGCCATTGAGCACCATCACGTCTCCATTGAACCTTCTCGAATCTATCGTAATCGCTGCCTTTGATGCAAATCGATCCATTTGTGGTATGCGCCATGTATTCGGCTTCCATTCTGAATCGCGCTATATGTGTATGTATGCATACCGTAACATGACCGACCCACCCGATATACGTATGTACATAGATATGATTTCAGTCTGGCAATGTTTTAAAACCGTAGAAATATCAACTTGGTTGGCCCAGACGCGATGGATTTTACTGAGAATCTTAAGTACTGTTCAGAGTTCATGATTAGGCACGCGATCACGCGAGTAGGCGATTAGGCGATTGCTCAGTGGGTGAAGCAACCAGATCGATACGTATACATTTCTACCCGCCTAATAGCGATCTCGAGCTATGGAAATTGCCTTAGGGATTCGATGTGGGGACCGTTGGTGTGTGGCAGCTGCGCTCCTATGCCATCATTATCTACACCATACATCATGCCTCATGCTGATGTGAAAACAGGAACGTTTCCTAAGGCTGACTGGGTTACGCCTTCTTTATTCCCAAAGCTTAAGCTCAGTGTTCCAAAACTGTAGCGGGTCTTATTTGAGCAAAAACGACAAATGCGGTATGTCGAACAAATTTTCTACAGAAACTAGTTTATTTATTCACTTTCCCTCAAATAGAAAAGACTTAAATATTAAAGTTATTCGAATTGCTAACGTCGATAGACTGCCGGGTGCTTTCACGACCGCCTGGAGTGAGGAATCAGGGCCGATGATATCAATTTTTGTTTATGAACGGCTTCAGTTCACAGTCGAATGTCTGGGGTGATTTGCGTGTAGGATGACAGCAACAACGACAAACTGAACCATTTGGCCTGAAAATTAATTTATTGATTTATCATTAAGCATACAATCAGAAAGTGACAATTGTCCGTTGATATGGTTTTGTCATTTGGTATGGTTTTCTCACTATTTAATTTTGGACATCACCATTTCTTCAGCTCATTGTAGTACAACATTTGGCGCTATCGCAGTATACGGGGGCATTCTCTAGGACTAAGCCTAAAAGGAGGCAGGAGCTTCAGGAAAAATGAAAATGGCTAATGCACCTTCGAGTCTCTCCTCCCCAAGGAGGCTGTTGTCACGTCTCTAACAAAAAAAGGCATGTTTTACATCGGTGAATGTACATGTCCGCTGTTTTAATTGCGCGATAGCTCCCAATATTCATTATTATTTGAAAATCGAAATCGTCCTGCCTTCACATAAGTTTTTTTTAAAGGCAAGATTCGGGATAAAATTAGGTGTGGAAAAGCGTTCAGTTATGAAGCTATAGGTGGGAGGTGGTCTGTAAAAGAGAAGGAAAGCAAACGAAACCACCGATTACGCCCCGTACAGAGACCTCCCCTATTTCAGCCACATTCCACCTTGGATGAAGGAAGAGGCGAATGGACGACGTCGAACGCAACTCCCCCCCCCCCTCCCCCCCCTCCCCCCCCCCCCGGCCCCCCCCCCCCCCCGCCCACTCCCCCCCCCACCCCCCTACTTGCTCCCTGTGCAATTGACATTGGATCGCGTGGGACCGCTGCCTCAAATGCGCCCGCGCTTTTCAAGCAGCGCCACGTGGCAACCGACAGCGAAGGGTGGGGCTTGCGGACGAAGGTGTGAGTTGCGGGTTGGACGAGCTCCTTGCGCCTTTGTCGCGTACTTTCAAGCCGCAAAAGGGGCCCGACATCAACACTTGTCCACCTGCCTACTACCCCCTGGATGGAACAGGCGAGCCCGCCTAATCGCGGAGCGTGCCTTTAAGCTCGCATTGTATTCCGTCTGCAACCACAGTGGACGTCGATTGCATAGCCAACCCATAAGACCATTCCACGTCAATCATTCCACGTTTTTATAGATCGAAAATGACTCGGTCTACTGAAGCTGTCCCATAAAGAAGAGCTATATTTATGCTATTAGTTTTCTTCGGTCAACAGACGGAGCTTCTAATTCTGTCTACGGCCCACACGATGCTGTCACTCATTGCTGACAGCCAAAATTGGTCACGGCGAGTTTTTAGCGAGTCCACAACGACGTCAATTAAAACCCCTGGGGTATTGGCTGGATGAAAAAGTGTACAAACCTGTGTTGGGGAACACATGAGAGGTAGTCGAGACCGTCGATAATCTGCTGCATGCTCTCGGTAACGTTGGGCAGTTGTATTTTGGAATTGGGCCAAAGCTTACAGTCTGGCATGTATTTTGACGTGCAGGCCTGAAAAAGGGATGAAGTTGAATTGGCTCATAATAAATTGTGCGTCAATGGCCTGGACTTTTTACTCTTACGTCTTATGCTTTCCGAAGGACAGCTAAACTAGCGAATATCCTCGCGAGTTTGAATCATTAAAATCTTCAATCTTGTAGATAAGAGCGCTTACTAGATTAGTGCTGTGTGCTAGTGCTTACTGCTGCTTCGCAGCGAAGTCATACTACGATGAACGCTCGCAGAGGAATAATGTCTCGTGAAAAAAGTAAAACATCTTTGCTCTGCATGGCAGGGGATTAAATTTCAGGTGAAATTTCGCCTAGGCCAACCAGACCTTTCATTTCTCCGGAATCGTTCCTTTATTTATTTATTTAATTGTTTAATTATTTATTTATTTATTTATTTATTTATGCGCCCAAATGACGCGCTCTTACACACGGGGTAGATGAGGTCAGCACTTAATCAACATTGAATAAATACTAACAAATAAAGACAAGAGGATCGAAGTCGTACCATCTAACCGCTATCATAGTGGGAAACAGCCATCGTAGAGGAAAAAAGTCCATTGGTGAGAAGAAGTTGACCTAGCAGAAAGGAGAAGAAACGCCGAGTACACGAGTGGAATTACGGCAGACACCCGCACCAGTCGGCAATGGTGCCCTTAGCGCCACAAAAGGGGTCATAGGAGCTTGCCGGAACTTCGAGACACGAGTATACCGACAGCCCTCGTGGAACCGGCAAGCCAGGTGAGAGCGGAATTCCAAGCCTTGTGAGAGCCGAGCATGAGAGACTGCTCAAAGAAAAAGGTTAAGAAGGATCGGATGAATTTCCAGTTCATATTTGGTACTAGACTTGTCTTTTAGACATGAATACGCTGATTTGTAAATGTGCCGGTCACTGCAACCCATTGCATAGACCATACCACATTCAAATGCCACCACAATTATGAATGGAAGTGGAATGAGTGGCGCATCCCAAAAAAGATTGATTAAAGTCAAAACTTTGCCCTTTATCGTTTATTTTGATTTCATTCGGAACTGAAAGTTTTTCGATTATTTTCGAATTTTGTAAATTTGCGTATTTATTTCAGTAGTGGGTTTACATGTAACAATAAGACTAGTGATGCTGGATGAGTGCAAGTCGAGCTCGTAAACGAATGCTGCTATAACAGTCCGCCGAATCACTGAAAACGTGGGGTGAAGGGCAAGGTGGAGAAAGATGGTCTGGTTGCGATTCGCCGAGTATGAATGCGATAGCGAAAATTTTATTAGCAGGCAAAGAGCTGGCTGTCCGTAGGAAATCGAGCGACAAGCTGTTTCGGGAAAAGCTGTCCTTTTGCTTACGTTTTAGTCCTGTACTGGGGCAAGACACAATTTTAATGTCAAAGCAAAAGAAAGAAAAAGAAAGCAGCTGATAATCGATCAAATGTTCACCTCAGAATGGCTTTTCAATTCGCCGTTTTCATTTCTGTTGAAAGCTGTCCTGCCTAATCGCAAGATGCGAGGCATAGTAGCAGGGCTATGCATCCAATAACCGTGTACTAACATACTTTCTAACAAAGCGGGACTGACCAGAAGATCCAGGGGGCGGCAGGCAATTTTCGCTTCTCAAAGCCTCCTCCAGCTGATGGTGAGTCTGAGATGCCTCATTCCTGCGATAGCGCGTTATTTGTTTTCCAAACATGAAGCACAATTCCGAAAATCCTAAGGCCATTCGGGAATTTGCACGAAGGGAAACATTCTAGCTCGCATGCATGTACAAACGGTTTTAATGATCTGGCTGCTCTTTCCTGGTCGAAACCCGGCGTTAACCGCAATCACAGACCGGTGTTATGAGAAGTAAAGAGGTGCGATTGTCAACACATTCTACAGTCTTTATTTTTCTTCTCGGGGGGACACTACTTCGTTTTTGGAGGTTGGTATAGTCAGAAGGTTTCATCAAAAGCTTCAGTTATAGTGTGGTTTCAGTTTTCTCCGCGATGTACGATCGGGTACGATCGGTGTGCATGGTGTATTTCTAAAGAATTTTTACATCATAGACGTCTTAGGTGTCCTAGTTTTTTAGACGACTGAAAAATTCCATCTAGTCTAGCTGTACCTTATTTTGGTCGATTCCCATGCATCGGCGCTCAGCCACGAATAGGGGATTGATCATGGCGACATCTCCGCTAAAAATGGAAGCGATCAGTCTCAGAAATCTGACCTTGACATCTGCTATTCAGGTACTGAACTAGAGGTTATGTAGTACTGTACTTGCACTGCTCAACAATCTGGTTCGGTACTGATAAGGATTGAAGTGCCTACCGTCGGTGACATTGGCGTCCACAGCTCTGTTGGTAAGAGCATTCGCCACATTGTTGTTCGCTTACTGTGATCTCGCGTAGGTAGTTGTAGAAATTGTTGAAAGCCTTGAAAAAACACCAGCATAGTATTTTTAATGTGTATTGATTGATGTATATCTAATGGGATTATCTTCATCGGCTTATCGCTGGCCTCAACATAGTATTGGATGGCGTATCGTTTTTCCGGGTCAAGAAACGAAGCGATTGGCCGAAGATAAGTGGACGAAATTCGCGATTCTATCGGCCTATTGGAAGGTCAACGACAATGACTGGTTTGATGAGAGCGGCTAAGAAAGGATGCGACAGGGACACGACAAAAAAGGGCTAATAAGAGCTGGATTTCAGAAAATTGGCTCTAACTATTTACCGTTCCCCATCGATCCTTCAGCAGACGGAAGAAGACATGTGACCGACATCCTTTTCGACCAGGCAGCAGCTGATCGAAGTAGGACCGTTGAAACCTGAATGCTTTCTTTGTGACTTCTTTAGGGAGCTCTTCAACTTTCGACTGACCTCTTCTCGTTGCCCTTCAACCACACACAAGGTCCCCATTCGGACCAAGATTCACAGTTCGGCGCCTGAATAGGGTTCCCAAACATGGCGCTTATTTGGCCATCTAAAGAAATAGTATTTGAGCTAGCTGATGCTTCAGAAAAACGAGCACTAAGAAAAGTACCTGTTATGCTTATAACTGAGATCAACACCAACGGCAGAAAAAGTCCCATTCTGAAAAAAAAGAATGTTAGTTTTCAGTGGGCCTCTTTGTCCAAGCAAAATCTTACGGTGAAGAGAAGTCAACTGCAAAAAGCGAAATTCGTACCACGAACTAAGAAACTCGGGTTGTGCTGTGATCATAGGGTGCAGGCGCGACGCGGCGTGATTTGTGGATCGACGTGCTGCTTTGTATTTTTGACGTACCATCTTAGCCGATGTCATAGTTTGCGAATCGAGCGATTCGCTAGCGAATCGCTGGATCCGAGCGTTGCGCCAGCGAATCGAAACGTTGCACCAGCGAATCGACCGATGTACCAGCGAGTCGAACTAGGTACCAGCGACTCAATAGTGGCGGGACCCAACGTTCAAAGAAGCTCTACTTTAATAGGTGTCACTATGTCAAAGGTCGCATTTCGGAAGCGTCACTGTCAAGTGACTTGGCGCAAAGTTTCGATTCGCTGGCGCAACGCTCGGGTCCAGCGACTCGCTAGCGACTCGCTCGATTCGCAAACTATGACATCGGCCTTACAATGACCTCTTGCCTATGAAGCCGACGCAGCACACAGTTAGTCATAATCATTGTTATAAGTCATAATTATGTTAATTATTATAACTATGGTTGAACAGTTAATACAATGATGGCAGCCTGACCGGCCGGGCACCTGGTGATTCCCAAGCCATGCCCATCCGCGGTTGAAGAAGAGCGCAATCGCGGCAAAAGGAACGGAGTCGCAGCGCATACTGTCGCGGTTAGGCGTAGTTTAAGTAGAGTGCACCATACTACGTCTCATATCGCACAGCGCGCGCATGCAACTCGTCTCTTTGCCGCGTTTGCGGTCTCTTGCTTCGCGCGCGATGGGCCTCTTGGGGGACACCCATGAGCGCCGCACGGGACACCGACGCGCACGCGCGTCAACATTTTGTCATCTATTTTTTCTGGCTTGCGCTCCTTCTTCCCGAATTTTTTCTATTTATTCTATAGATAGTTTAATATAATTATAAAATATATGTTCCTAAGAATAATTGAAGTATGTATGTTGTTTCATACGGAAGATTTTCCTAGCTTCATGAAACTTCCGGATTCTTATCACTCGGTGCTGATTTCTCTATGCCAGGGAACCTTATAAAAAATCATAGTAGATAAGTTACAAAATTAAGTCATAAGTAAATTTATGACAAAGATCAATGCGTGGCAAGCTTTTGACGTCACTTGGCGAAAACTGTTAGTTCTTACTTTTTGCTGTCTTTAGCTGTTCTTTTCTACAAAATTCTACTGTCATGTATACGGCGAAGTCCTACGCTTAAATCATTGTTGAGATTTTCTCATAAAATTCGTGACTTTTGATCTTTAACACGTTGACGACAACGCGCGTTTTGGGTTTTTGCGCCGCGTGGGACCACGGCGATTTTGCAGGCGCCGCCGCCTCACATCAAATCCGTGAATTTTGAGCTTTAAATACCCAAAACTCGGATGCAACGAAATGTTTAGAATAGATATTCGATGTGTCAAACTTATCAGAAGGGACAACTGTAAAAAATCGATCGAATTGACGTTTTCTGGCGATGAAAGGCAAGTTTCAGTTGCTTTTGCTGCAGTGAACCTCAAAATTATTTTTGACGCGGTTGCTCACTAAAAACATATGTCTTGCTATATGTGTGGGTCTGTACTTACTTCTACTGCTCTTTTTTATGACCAAGATTATCAGAATATAAAGGAAACTAGGAATGAACACAATTGGGAAATTCGTAGGGCTTAGAAAACCTTCGCTAAAAAGGAGCATATTCAACCATTCAATGAACCTCGCCGTGTCTAGTCATATTATGGTGTAGTCTATGGAATAGATGCAAAAAAATTAGAAAAGAAGTAGCGCATGCGCGAAAAAAATAAATATTTTGTGTGTGCAGCGCATGCGCTGCACACGGTCCCACACGGTGCTCAAGGTGTGATGCGCATGCGCTGCACAATGTCGTCAACGTGTTAAAATAAACGAATGTGAGGTGGGAACAGCGCGCTCTCAAACCGCTCCTGCCCCACGTGGCCAAGAAGGTGAAGCGCACCATGTCGTCAATGTGTTCTAATCACTACCTAGTGCAAAATTGTGCAAACCAAATGCGAGATCTTTCAAATGTGTGTCTGCGCATAAAATCACCCCATCAATCAATATCGATTTATTGAACGAATTACAAGCAAAACGGAGAATAATTCTTGGTTCTGGCTTTTTCACAAAAATAATGATTATGGTTTGATATTCCGAGGTGGCGCCCATAAGTGAGTGTGGCCCTTCAAGCCGCGTGCGGTTGCGACGTGGCCCGCTGGCCACGCCATCCAGCGACCACTTTTTGGTGTGAATTACTATATCGCATAAATTGAGGAAATATTGTTTGAGAAGTCGTCGACTATAAAGAGAGCCTTGCGGGAACTCAGTTGAAAATGCATACGTTAAGCGCTACTGAGCTCTGCCAAAGGTACATATAACGTTAGGCGAACAGGATCGCAAGCGTGACAGGTTCCTATTGATGGCTAGGCCATGCTCGGAACATTCATAAGAACTCGTTGCGTAGACTCGGCATAACGACGGACGACCTGTCGTCGTCACATGGAACAGTGGCGACGTAAGGAAAAAATTGGTCATTGTTACAATGAGGACAATGGGATTCTTCTTAGCATGGAACGGCCACGAAGCGTTGCTGATCGGCGACACATTGGGGCATCGATATGAAGAAACAGTAGAGGAAATGGCCACCGCAGTTTGATACCATTATACCCTAGAGATGAGACTGGTAAAAGAGTGTTACTGTAAAGAGGTAACTATTAGGCTGAGTACTAACCAGGAAAGGCATTCAACTTCCCATGGAACTTTGAATTGAGACCCAGATATATCGATAGAGCTTCAAACGCTGATTACAAATATGGAAACTAAAACTGCAAAATGAACCTGCCAAGGAAGTTGTGAGCAGTCAAAGTTGGCTGGAAGTAAAGCGTTACATATTACCGTGCTAGCCTCCAGGCTTTCAAAGTCGCCGTGGAGCAGTGGTAGTGCTCTCGAAATTCGCAACCCACAAAGAGAACTTATGACCTCCCGGATAAAGAGCGAGGGCACTACCACTACTCCGCGGAGACTGAAAGCCTGGTGTCCAAAACGGTTCATATACAGCGCTTTACTTTGGCCAACTTTGACTGCTCACAACTGCACGCCCGTTCATGAAAATCGCCCGGAAAGGGTGCTAGATCCTTTGCAAATTTAGCTGCAGCATCTGTAAAATTCCCCACTGCAGCAGACTGTTGACTGGCGCTCTTTCAGCTGTAGCACTACATCGCCTCATTCTCTCCTTGAAGCGCTTCTCTCATTATCTTAACACGGTCGCATTACAAAGGTGAGCGAGCCCTCAAATTCAAACTTTTTCGACAGATTCCTTCCCTTTTACTTTGCTGCTGGACCATTTCGTTGCAATTTTTCATATTTGTGTGCAAGTACCACACCAGTTTGATCCTGAGGCATGCCTTAAGAAATTATAGGAATATATATATATATAATATATATATATATATATATATATATATATATATATATATATATATATATATATATATATATATATATATATATATATATATATATATATATATATATATATATATATATATATATATATATATATATATATATATATATATATATATATATATATATATATATATATATATATATATATATATATATATATATATATATATATATATATATATATATATATATATATATATATATATATATATATATATATATATATATATATATATATATATATATATATATATATATATATATATATATATATATATTATATATATATATATATATAATATATATATATATATATATATATATATATACTTTAAAACCTTATGTTAATCACGGCGAAAAAGGGCGATTTCACTATCTGTGATTTAAAGGAGGAATTCACGATTAGAATGAAGGTCGAAGAAAGGGAAACTGACCTAGTTGAGGGACCCACGGACCTCCTGAGGGTGCGAACTGACGCGCAATTCGCATGGAAAAATTTGACCTCGGCGACCTATCATGCCTCAAAGCTGGCGGGTCCGGCGATCTCCGCCCACCGATCATCTGATCACTCGCCGTAGTTCAATACGTGGCGAGTGATTAGATAGCTGAGAGAGCGTAGTGTTGAAGAGGGCACAGCGATGAGAGTCGCATCAATGCTCGAATCAACGGGCAAGGAAGGGGACCATTTCTCGGGTTCTGGGCCGTTTCTCATGGTTCTTCCTTCTTTCGTGTACCACTCACCATCCCTAGGTTAATTTGAAATGGGTTGCTTTTTCATCGTGAATTCGTCCTTTAATGATAAAGTTTGAAATGAAAGGCATCCATCAATTTTTTGGGTTCCGTCACGCATTCCAACTCCATTCAGAGTAGCAAAAAGAAAAGTGTATGACTGACCCATACCCGTTCGGGCCAACTAAGCCATCCATCCCTCCGGGTTGGTTAATTGGTACCAGACTTGTCTGGGAGGATAAAAACACTGACTTGTACATCGGCTGGCCCCGCAAGTCATTGTATAGGCCACATCGCATTCAAACGCCACTACGATTCAAATGGAAGTAGAATATGTCGCGCCCGAAAGGATTGTTCACCCCTTACTTGCTTTTGATTCTTCACTATTTGTCAAAACCAGATTGTTAGGGTTTTATAGATCATCGCATTTGACTGAAACAAAGCTCATGACTGGACGAAACAAACCACCTTTTTTCTATTGAGCGATTTTGTTCCCCTTCAAAAAGCGAGAAAGTGTCGGGTGCAGACCATGCACCACAAGTGACGACGGCCTTCACAAAATGTTAATGTTTTCTGCCAATGAAATGATTAGCCTGTTGCAGTTGTATTCTATCGATTGTCACTAATTACAACTATCATTTACCAGAAATCAGCTATCACTATGAACAACTTCTAACCAGATTTACTTGGAGGCCGTCGTCAGTTGTGGTGTTTGGTCTGCACCCGACACTTTCTCGCTTTTGAAGAGAAGGTTACATGTGGTTTTTTTGCAGCTAGTGTTAGCCATCTGTTTAGCAGCAACCTACCACGGGTTTCACAGTTCCGGAACATTCAAAAGTCAGTCTACCCAGTTCAGTGCACAAGTGTTCCCATACTAAACGATCTTGAGTTGATTTACACCATAATTTCAATCACAGATCAGTCTGAGGGCGCGGGTCACGGATCAAATTG